ATAATCATAAGAAAAGTGTTGTTGTTTTTTTTTCTGGTAAATTGTCCTTTGTATAAAATAAACTGCTCAATGCAACACATTTTTAGAGATTAATGTTTCGTTACATTCGGGTCGGTTAAGATGAAAGCAAGCAGAAATTCAAAAACGTTAACCGCATTTTTTGTTGTCGTGTTTAGTTTGTTAGCTTCCATAAAAATGTTCGGTTTTTTGTCCGGTAGATGTTACTCTATTCGATTTGACAAATTTTCAGGAGACATATAAAAATTCATAAAATGTACTTTTAAAATTAAGAGTTTATTGCAAAATGCTCCTCCTAGTGGTGATTTATAATAAAAAATTTAATTGAAAATAGAAGAAAAAATTAATTAACTTTCAGATTTCAGTCTTGATTTCTACTTCTCAGTTTTCTTCAATAAATAGTGTGGTTGGTAGTTTTTGTACAAAAAGTATAGAATAGATTTATTGCTAATATTACATTCATCTAGGTTTGTGTTTTATACTTAAAACAGGAATTGCATATTTAGCAAACGGCGCTAAATATTATTTAATTTAGATGTATTATCAAACCTAAAGACTGGAACATGTGTTAGTTAGTATTTTAAATGTGAAAAAAAAACATGATTAAATAAACCACAAATGTAGCTTCAGGCTGATGGTTATAATAAATGTAAGTATAAATGTATTAAGTGATGCATTTTAGTGTGACTGAAAAAAAGCACAATGTAATATTGTTCATTTGTGCTATTGTATCGGCATATGAACACAAAAAAAATCTATTACTACCAAAATAAATTGTCCAATTTTTAAAATGTATCTATTTAAAAGTCATGTTTATATATTACAGAAAGACATATCAAAAATTAAAGTTGAATTATGTAAAATATACTTTCAACAGCAACCGTATAACAGGTTAATGAATACGACAGATTTAAATAGATACGAAGCAAAAGCTATAAAAAAAAAGTGCTATTTAATGATATAAATAGTATTTCGTATTAGGTTATATCTAAATGTGCTATATGAAAAAGTCCATATAAAATGTAATGTTTTAAATCGCGTATAAAATGTTTCCATTGCTTTATTACTTTGAACATAAATTATTTCAAATAACTTCAAAGCAAATATACAAATAATATTTTTTATTAACGTACAAGATACTGAAAAGGGGTCAGGTCCGAATGCGGAACTAATTAAGGCATTCTCTTTTTAGATCTAAAATCCATCAAATACGGTATGACGGTATACCTGACTTGCTATATATAAACTGAACCGGGGTCAGGATTGTTTCTTACACTGACTTGTAAACAAATCCAAAAATAACAACAAACAAAGAAAAGTATGATTAACAATACAAAACTGAATCACTGTGTTGAATAGAAATGTATGTGTATATAGAAATAAAATGAATTTAAATGAAAACACGGCAGTACGATGGTGAAAACGCTATAGTACGATGATGAAAACACGATAGTACGGTGATGAAAACGCGATAGTACGATGGTGAAAACGCGATAGTACGATGATGAAAACACGACAGTACGATGATGAAAACTCGAAATCACGAAATTACGATGGTGAAAACGCGACAGTACGATGGTGAAAACACGATAGTTTATCGCGTTTTCATCATCGTAGTACCGTACTGTCGCGTTTTCATCATCGTACTTTCGCGTTTTCATAATTATATAGAAATAAAATGAATTTAAACAGAAAGAATTGTAGTTAAAAAGAAATTTTCAGAAATATAGACCTGAAAGAACTAACTAATGTATCGATTTATTCGTATAGTATGACGGTTTAGATAGGAATCAAACAGTTACGCCTATGAATGGTTTGATCTGAACCACGATACTCGAAAGTACGATGATGAAAACGCGAAATCACGAAACCACGATGGTGAAAACGCGACAATACGGTGATGAAAACATGACAGTGCGATAACAAAAACGCGATAATACGACAGTACGATGGTGATAATACAAATAACTATCGTGTTTTCATCATCGTACTTTCGCGTTTTCACCATCGTAATATCGTGATTTCGCGTTTTCATCATCGAACTGTCGTGTTTTCATCATCGTACTTTCGCGTTTTCACCATTGTACTATCGCGTTTTCATCATCGTAATGTCGTGTTTTCATCATCATACTATCGTGTTTTCATCATCATACTGTCGTGTTTTCATCATCGTACTATCGCGTTTTCATCATCGTACTATTGCGTTTTCATCATCGTACTATCGCGTTCTCATTATCGTAGTTTCGTGATTTCGTATTTTCACCATCGTTCTATCGACTATCGCGTTTCAGGTCAACACATTCATAGGCGATGGCCCTAACGACATTCCGTAAACAGTTGATATGGATATGCTCAAGAGAATCTCCTGCTTTCAATGGTGTAGGTGTACTCTTTTGTTACCGTCATTGCTAAAATTTGGGTCTCCATCAAATAAAGCTTGGAGGGTTACTGTACAAATGGTAGACATAGGTAGATATAGTATTAAGAAGACGGGTCTTACTGTCAACATAGCATTGATGAAGCTGTGTCTACTTTTCACTATGTCACAATGACAAAGAGGATATGGAATATCTATATGTCTTTATAAATATACGCTGTTTTAGAGAACTAAATTCAGAGTGGAATCAAGTTTGAAGAAAATCAGACTATTCCTGTCGCCTTCTAAGAAATTTACGTGGAACGAAGAGCTGTTAGTCTCAAATGATATTTTAAAGAAAAACGTGATCGTGAATGTTGTACTTAACTAGTAGGGATCAGGGTAGATGGCAGGACAGTGTTTTGTTATAGAGATGTTCGTTTTCGATTAGACTTTTTGTGTAGATTGTACCTCTGATTCAGTGTCATTTTGACTACTCTTGTTCCTCTTTGTATGAAGGTTTATCAAAACATTTGAAAAGAAAGTTACAAATTACCCAGAATAAGGTATTAAGATTTGTCGCCTAGAACTTCTGTAACAGTGTATGAGTTTGAAAAAATTAAATTGGTTAAATGTAGAAAACAGAGTCAAACAGTTAAGACTCAATCATATGTATAAGATTTTTTTACAAAAAGAGTCCATCATACCTTAGAGCCGACTTTAGATGTTGTGCTGATGCATATTTTTACAATACTTGGTCAAGCAATTTTAATTTTATTGTCCCCCAGAGCAATTCTATGATGAAACAGACCTTTTATTATAATGGAATTAAAGACTGGAATGATCTGCCAGAATATATAAAATTCATTAATAATTTTGTGCAATACAAAAAAATCTGTTAGAAAGTACCTACTAGAAAATTATAAAAGTCTTTCAGAAGATATATGTGTACAACTAATGTGTTAGGCAATGTGATCAAATATTTAGGTGATAGTAATACTAGGCTTATTTTAAAAAGGGCATACTTTTATAAATATATTTCCTTTTTCAACCAAAATTTTGACCAAAGTTAGTTAGTTTAATTTTTTTCTTGTTGTTTTTTGTTTGTTTTTTTTTTGTTAGGGGGGAAGGGTTAAAATTATGATTTTTTTTTTTTTTTTTTTTTTTTTTTTTTTTTCTATGGACCCCATTGGAAATAAACATTTAGCTTAATGGAATATCCATAGGTGCATAGTACCTTTTATTTTATTTTTTATGACAAAAGTGTGCTCTTTTATGCTGTTTTATGATCTCATTTTATATATATGATTTATATATGTTATCTCTTAACTGTATGATTTTATATTTTGTATCATGTGCTATGTTCCTAAAATGTATAAATAAAAAAAAATAAATAAAAATATCGCTAGAGAAGAGAATTGAAGATTAGATTAGAAAATGTATTGTCGAATGATACAAATTTATTTTTTCTGGTTACACGTAAAACGTAGAAAATAAAGGACAAAGAAAACACAGTTAAAATCGTATTTCTAGGATAAAAGGGTTACAATCAAATAATGATTTAATAATGGAAGTCAGTTCTCAATATAATAATTATGCAAATTTGAAAAACAGTGATACACAGGGTACAAGTTACCTATAGATACTGGTTAATGTGTTTCAATGATTCTGCAGCAATGTATGTCACTTTTATGCTATTTATGTAGACCCAGGGTGCATAATAAGTGATACTGCTGTATGCAGGCCAATGTATAGATATTCTTCACAGAAATCATACACCTATAAATATACATTGAGAAATGTAATGTGAGCAATTGTCTGTCCATTTCTTTTTTAAATTATATTACAAAGAACGAGTTAAATCTAACAGCAAGATATTCCTAAAATATGTCTAGAAAGCAAATCAAATTCTGGAAAGTTGCATTGGTTGTTAGACAATATTAAAAGCTGCATATGCTGAAAAAATACTATAAATGTATGTAATCTCTTCATGAAAGTTTTCACTTATGTAATGTATGTATGCATATAATTTAGACTTTTTCAAGCTGTAATTTATCAATAGATTCAGCACTACTTTTTTGCTGAACCACAAACCAATTTCCGATTAGAAGTGCTTTGATCTTTTACCTCTCATATATGAGGTGAAACTGATAATTTAAAAATGAAACACGGAAGTGATTCAAATTATTATATGACTTTATAGGTATTAGCAAAAAGTACTTTGCAAGCAATTTAGCAGGCAATTAGGCCATAAATTTGGTTAATTAGCACGTAATAAGGACATATTTCTGATCGAATTATTTCTTTAATATGCCTTATAGGCCTGATGTGGTGCGTGCTATTGGTTAACAAACTAGTATGACTGATTACTAAAATAAAGAAAAATCACTGCATGTTGACTCGATAGATCTATCTGGAAACAGAGCATACCATTTAAATGATCTTTTTCTTAATCACTATATAATATTTTAGTTTAGATGGATTTAAAACATGTGTGTATTTGTTTTACATTTCTTTTATTGGTCTTTAATGAAATTAACGTAAACTTAAGCATTGGTGTAAACGCTTATATGGACAGACACCCTATTTCATACTATGAAAATTTTGCCTATGGTGGCAAGGACGGCTTTCCTTTTCCACTACAAGATCCCGAGTTATTCAACACCCCTTCAGAGTCTGTAGAAGGACGCTACAGACACGCTGCTGTGGCAACCGATTCATTTGAATGCTCTAAAATAGGCACGTAAGTTGGCATAATTATATGTTTTAACATTAAAATAATAAAGTAGTTTAAGAATGTTTTGAATTAAGGTGACAACGGAGTCAATTATCACTGAAAATACCTAAAATGAGATTTTTTGCTTAGTATATTTATCCATCTTTTCTGAACACATTCGTGATTTAATTTTGGAAGCAGTTTGTCCAAAAGATGTGTTTTTAAACGTTTTAAAACGTTACCTGTACCATTTTTATCTGCTATTCGCATAACCTGTCAATTATCGATAACGCTCCGGCCCCTGTTGAGGCATCAATAAGGGAAATCGGTAGATGCGTGAATTACCGGTCCATACTGGTCCATACTTCTCGTAATTCATGTATCGTACAAATACCGAATATCGTCTACCTTTTATTTAGCCTTTTTTATAAAATAAGAAATTGTCGGCCAATGTACGTAACATGATCTATGAAACATAAATAATTATAAGCATAGCGGCAAATCGCACGACCACGGGGTTGATTAAAAATATAGTTGCTAAAATATCCATAATGTGTGAAAATAATTTGTCTGTCCCGTTAATCTGATAGATATTACATTGAGTTTATGGACTTTTGTACGGATTCAAGGGCTTGCTTCACATTCAACCTCGTTTTCTAACAATGTCAAGTAAAACAACAACAAAAACAGACAACATTTTTTATGTGAACGCCTATATGACTTGTGGTAAGGTGTCCCTGACAAATTTCTAAACCATTTTAGGTTGTCTAAGGATGATTATTTCTCTATGAATCAATAAAAAAAGATAATAAAATATATTATCAGTGAATGCTTTGAATAAATTGTTCGCCAGTAAATCGAACACAGTACTAATAAACCTGGGACAAAGTATGGAATTTATTGTATATCCCAGTAGAAACTGGATCTCTATGCCGTGCTTAGATGCATAGATGATATTCATGATAATAGAAGTCAAGAAGGTCAGATCATAATGATCGAGTGATACCTTTTACTTCTATTAAAATATGTGAAGCATTTATATCAATTTGGAGGAAAAAATATATAATATCCCGTTCTTATTTGTACATCTACCATGGACTTTAAAAGACCGTCAGAAGCTCAGTTTTTAGTTATTTTAATTTATATTTTAACAGAATTTCATAAACGAATACACAGAGTGACACTGGTATAATATATTAATAATAATGCTGATGAAAATAATAATAAAATTCAAAATACCCCGCTAGCGGTGCGCAAATACGTTCTATCCACCCCCACCGAGTGCCTCAAACTTTACCGAGAGTCACGTGACATGTGCGACCGATACCAGACGGACAGAAAATCACGTTAAGATTTGAAGAAATTTCTGTTATAAACTGATATTTATCAGCAACTTTTTAATTGGTCAGATGTCACTGGGTCATAAAATGTTGTTAGAGTATGTTACCGCAACTTGTGACCCTCTCGAGTGCGATATTTGTGTATTATGCAATTATTTAGCGTGAAACGTGGGGGTCCGAGAGAGAACAGCCGATTTATGACACTTCGTTTGATGCGGGTCGGACTAACTTTGAATCGGCATAACTTTTTGAATAATCAAGCAATTAACATGCGGTTTAAAGAACATGAAAGGGAATTCATTTACGGAGGGAACTGTGTCAGGGATTTTTGTTTGCTCAATCAGCGACTTAATTATCTTTGATAACGTAACATGTATGGTGAAAAAAAGTCGCATAAAATGTTTGACGTTACGTAATATTTTTTAGAAAAGATAGAAAGAATTTGAGACACGCTTCCCCAGATATTATAAGTATGTTTATTTTCCAAAAGTTTGATGACAAAAAAATAAAAAATGACTTTGATATGACGATTTAAAATTTTAGGATTTTTATTAAAAATCAATCATTTACAAAGGCATTTTTTTCAAATATGTTATTTTTTAAGATGATCAACGACATTTAATGCACAAAGATTAAATAAATAACAATTATTACTAAAATAAGTTGGTTTAAATGACATTTATGTGAGTACCACGTTAAGTGTCTGTTGTCACCTTAATGCTTTAAGTGCTCATGCTTGTGCTAAGTAGCGAGATATGTTTAACACATCCATCATATTGACAAAGTTTGCAAACCGAGTGTTGAGTTTTTGGAATTAATACTATAAGACCACCAACAAAGGATTCAAGAGCAGTAACAGGTGACATTGGCATCTCAGTGTTTTAGTATTTGTTTGGTATTTTCGGTTCACTGATTCAAGTATCTTACGATTAAATTCTTTGCTTATTTAAGTCTTTGTATGGGGAAACTTTTGTTTGTTTAGATATCCCATAGTGCAAGTTTTATTTATTTTAGTTTATCACCGTTTTTTTCTGTAAAATGTGTTGTTTGTAACACAGTCAAGTATTATCTTTATTTATTTGTAAGCACAATAACTTTATATTCGAAAAATGAAAAACAGCAGACAAGGGAAATTAATTTCAATCGTGAAATAGTTTGGCACATGGATATTTTTTCAGTTATATCATTTCTATGAATGTTTAAAGAAAACTCATTAATGGAGTTAGTACATAAATAAGTTCGAGTGTTGATCGCATTGAATTTAAAAGAACGTTAAAAAAAATTCAGCTTAAACTCGCTGTTTTTTAACATTTCTTAAGTAATCAAACTTTCAGAAATGTGTAAAACAATTCAAGCAATACAAGTTTCGACATGTTTCTTTCTATTGTTTTTTTTTTCTTTTTTCCTACTAAGTCAACATTTTAAGTTTAAAGAACGATTGCCTTCAAAGGTATTTAGATTAATATTGAGCCAAATCTGGTAACCATCTTGACAAGTCTATTCATTTACAACATATATATATATATATATACATATATTTACCATAAGGGACATAATGAGACGCCAGGGCGGAAGTGCCATTGACGCTGCCATTGCCGCCACGTTGTGTTCTGGTGTCGTTAACCCTCAAAGCTGCGGAATCGGTGGTGGGCATTTCCTTACATATTATAACAGGTACATTCTACAAATGACATTCATGTTACTGTTACTGTTGTACATTCACATGTTAGAATTTTCATGAAAGTCATAAAAATGTAGATGATATCAACACATGTAAAGCAACACTCATCAATAAATATCAAATTATGTAATGAAACTTTAAGACTTAGCTTGTACCTTGACTTTTTAAAAATGTTTGGCTTGCAGAATGTTTGTTGGTTTTACATCGCATCAAGACTTTAAAGGTCATATGTCGACTTTCAAGTTTTACTGATGGATAAAGACCTCAAGTGCCCTTCTTTGCATCATTTCAACGCAAGCTGACACCTGAGTAGAAACACCGGTTTCTGTAAGCTAGTTACATAAAGAACACAAAGTCCTTTGCGGGATTTGAACCCAAAGCTGTGTGAGCTTAGACATTTTAAGTTGGAGTTATTTCATAAAAATATAGTTCTGTCTTCTTGAACCAGAGCAAATGGCTATGTTTATTCGGTTATCGGAAGAGAAAGGGCGCCCTTAGCTTCAACCGAGGACATGTTTACCGAGGACAAAAACACGTCATCACAGTTAGGTAAGTTACAAAAAAAACAATTGATACTCAAAAAGTTCTTATTAATTATTAGTTGGTAAATAAAATTAGCTATTAAGTCGACATTAGAAGCTTAGAACATGTCATCAAGATTGAGGAAAATTTTAAAAGTATGGAAATTACATGTTTGCAGCCTGTCATAAATCGATAAAACCCTACAGCGTGAATATTAATAATAAAATCCCGTCTGACCTTTTTTGCCCGTGTGCCCTGCCATGTTTGATGTCCTGCGAGGCTCTTTGACGATAGTCCTGTGTCGGGGATGCGTTTGTTGAATGCCGCCCTTCCTTGCTGATATTTTTCTTTTCATATCTTAATTGATATCAATATTTCAAAATTCTCTCCCTCGTTCCACGTCGGTGCATAAGTTGGTTCCTTTTAGGCTGTATGCGGGAGATGCGCCTTGTGTATCCCTCGTTATCGATCTTAGATCTCACATTTCTGTGTGAGAATGTTGTCATATTCATATGAATGAAAGAACGATCGATCCAATAGATTTTGTACCAAACGATTTTATCGAATACAATAAGAAGTTTATATAAATTTATTAAAAACTGGAAACATTTAAAGACGGCAAATCATCGGAAAGAAGACAATGTTGCAGGATAGGCATGTTTTCTTTATGTATAGATTTTAACTCTTTTTTTTCTTCATCACATGAAAGGAGGCAAAGCTATTGCTGTCCCTGGAGAAATCCAAGGTTTTTATGAAGCGTGGAAAATAGGAGGTCGGCTGCCCTGGAAGCAGTTATTCTTACCAACTATAAATTTATGTAGAAAAGGTATAACTATAGGAAAAGCGCTCCGTCGTGCTATTACTAATACAGAAAGATTTCTCGAACAGTTTCAATCATTCAGGTATACCATAAATATAGAAAGTCTTATCCTTAAACTTCACTATAATGTTTTGAATTTTATTATTTATTATGGTTTTCTGAAATTTCTTCAAGAAAGTTTGACGATATGTTACAAATCTGAATACATTTTCCGAAACGAAACACTTGTAAAGTGTTTAAGACTCGGTTTGATTGAGCCTGTTTATTGGCAGAAATTGTTATCATTTAATTTCCATGTCCAAAAACGTCGATTTAAGCAAAGTTGATTTAAAAATGACATGCAAATGTGCTTATTTAACTATGAAAACTGAACATCACATGTGACTTCCATGTCATTTTCCATACAATTACATTTAGTATGTAGTAAGGTTCAACAAGTGAGGTGATGCCTCATTAAAATTTGGAAATTCATACTCACTAGGTTTAACAAGCATTATGACACAATGTATTATACCAAACGTTCTTATGACATAAAACGATCAAATAGTTACGATACGGATATGAATGTTTTCAGAGATTTCCTAACAAATCCAGATACTAGAGAGATATATCAAGAGGGTGACACAATGTTCCGTCCACGACTTGCAAACACATTAGAGGTTATAGCAGAAGAAGGACCAAATGCATTTTATGGAGGAAGTCTTACCGACTCTATACTTGCTGAAATAGCTGACTCAGGTATGATTCGCTTATTAAGCTAAGCATTTTTATGAACAGACCCAATACAACAAAGTCTGCAATTGTCAACTATTTGTTATTGTGGCAGCTGTAAAATGTGATTAGGTTTTCTTGTCCTTCGGAGATAATTGGTTCCAAAACTTTTAGCTTTGAGATTTGAATACTGCTAGGGGCGTGAGCGATGTTGAATGTCCCGTCATCTATCACGAACAAACACAATGTAACGGAGTGTACAACTATTTTTGAATGTTTACATGTCCCTCGTTTATCTTTGTCCAGACTGTTGTATCATATTGGTAACATTTTTGTTCGTGTCTGGCTATGATATTCTTCGCTTAGAGGCGTTTAAATTATTGACAAATTAATCAATATTTTTCACGTTTTAACCGCAAGCAAGTACATACAGAGTATTTAATCTCATCTCTTTAAATCTAAGGTATTGCTTTATATCGTGAAACTGAATAAAAATATTTCATTTTGTTTCATATTCTTAGTTCTTATCTTATTATTTCACAAATACCATGGTTATAAATGCGGGTTTAAAGAATTGTTCAGCTTTTTTTAATGAGCTTGACTGTTGAATGTAAAGCACATTTGACAAGACATAATAGAAGTGGTAAGTAGAGTAATAATCCAGTCAATCATTGTAAACAAGTAATGGTGATAAATTTAAAATTATTCTTCACTGCCAAAATGTACATTGCAATAAAAGATTTGCCTTACACGTTACACTTGTTCTTCATAAATTTAACTAATTTCATAATTGTCATCATCACTGTCATCAAGACTTATTACAGTTCTGCTTTACAACATACTTTGTTTTATTCCGTCAACTTTCAGTTTCCTCGACACGTCTAAATGTGTTTTAACAAAAGTGTTTTGTCTAGTTTGCACAATTCAGCTGTTACTAAAATAGGTTAAATCTTTTACTTAGAAATTCTTGTTTCCCGTCAAACCCCGTCAAACCCTGTTTTTTAGCTCACCAGAGCCGAAGGCTCGTATAAAAGGGGGATGCTCCGTCGTCCGTCGTCATGCGTCAACAATCGTCTTCTTCTCTGAAACTACCAAGCTGATTTACTTCAAATTTGGTCTGTATCATCTTTGTGACAGTCACACTTGAATTTGCTCATGTCATTCCAATTGGCCCCTTTTAGAGGTCAGCAGAGCTAAAAATAGAAAAACCTTTAAACATCTTCTTCTACAGAACTAATTGATGGATGATCACCAAACTTTGTCTGTAGCATTCTTGGGTAGTATTTTATCAAGTTTGCTCATATGAATTTGATTGGCCCCTTTGAGGGGTCTCTAGGGCTAAAAGTAGAAAAACCTTTAAACATCTTCTTCTACAGAACTAATTGATGGATGATCACCAAACTTTGTCTGTAGCATTCTTTGATAGTATTTTATCAAGTTTGCTCATATGAATTTTAGTGGCCCCTTTTAGAGGCCGCTTAAGCTAAAAATAGAAAAACCTTTAAACGTCTATATCTACCGAACTAATTGATGGATGATCACCAAACTTTGTCTGAAGCATTCTTAGGTAGTCTTTTATCAAGTTTGCTATTATTATTTTGATTGGCCCCTTTGAGGGGTCTCTAGGGCTAAAAATAGAAAAACCTTTAAACATCTTCTCCTACAGAACTAATTGATGGATGATCACCAAATTTTGTCTGTAGCATTCTCGGATAGTGTTTTATCAAGTTTGCTCATATTAATTTGACGCCCCTTTTAGAGGCAACTTAAGCTAAAAATAGAAAAACCTTTAAACGTCTATATCTACAGAACTAATTGATGGATGATCACCAAACTTTGTCTGTAACATTCTTAGGTAGTTTTTTATCAAGTTTGCTAATTTTATTTTGATTGGCCCCTTTGAGGGGTCTCTAGAGCTAAAAATAGAAAAACCCTTAAACATCTTCTCCTACAGAATTAATTGATGGATCATCACCAAACTTTGTCGGTAGCATTCTCGGGTAGTGTTTTATCAATTTTGCTCATATTAATTTGATTGGCCCCTTTAAGGGTCTCTTTAGCTAAAACTAAAAAAAAACATTTAGATACCTTCTTCTACAGAACTAACTGCTGGATGATCACCAAACTTTGTCTGTAGCTTTTTGGGTAGTCTTTTATCAAGTTCGCTCATATGAATTTGATTGACCCTTTTAAGGGGCCGCTTAAGCTAAAAATACCTTTCAACGTCTATTTCTACAGAACTAATGAATGGATGATCACCAAACTTTGTCTGAAGCATTGTTGGGTAGTCTTTTATCAAGTTTGCTTATATTATTTTGATTGGCCCATTTAAGGGACCGCTAAAATTAAAAATAGAAATACGTTAAATCGTCTATTGCTACAGTACTAATTGATGGATGATCACCAAACATTGTCTGTAGCATTATTGGGTAGACTTTTATCAAGTTTGCTCATATTAATTTGATTGGCTCCTTTTAGGGGCCGCTTAAGCTAAAAATAGAAAAACCTTTAAACGTCTTCTACTACAGAACTAATTGATTGATGATCAGTGAACTTTGTCTGTACACTATTGGGTAGTATCAAGTTTGCTCATATTAATTTGATTAGCCCCTTTTAGGGACCGCTAAAATTAAAAATAGAAATACGTTTAAACATCTTCTCCTACAGAACTAATTGATGGATGATCACCAAAACTTTGTCTGTAGATCTCTCTCTTTT